GACCTCTGGTGACCTAGTTTTTGACCTGACTGGTTTTTAACGCTCTTTCGAAAGCCGTCTACCGCTTGTCTCTACGACGCTCAGGAGTCGAGTTAGACGGGGGCGTAAAACCGGCCCCCCAGGCCCCACCCCGGCCCGCTGCATTACAGATGGAGCACCGGCCCGGCGCGGGTTAAAGAGATGTCCAGAGCGCTGTTCGGCTGCTGCTGTTTTATCAGCAAGAAGTAGTTCCACAACAGCCCACCAGAGGGATTTCCATTGAATCGTGCTGTCAACCATATTTTCCTGGCGCTTCTCGGCCGCTGATTGGTTGACAGCACGATTCAATGGAAATCCCTCTGGTGGGCTGTTGTGGAACTACTTCTTGCTGATAAAACAGCAGCAGCCAAACAGCGCTCAGGTGCGTGCTGTACATATACAGTGTATAGGCAAAGCCGCAGCAAATTAATTTGTGATAAATTGTTATTTAACTATAAAGGGGGTAAATAAGGTAATGCTAATTTCAATGTTTGAGAGATACTGTCACCATTTTTCACCTTCACCCCACCATTCTTCACTCCTGCAGAGTGCAGTAGAAGTTTAGTTATTTTTACCCGCACACTAACTGGAGACTGATCCACCTTAGACAATAGACAATAGACATTTATTTCGCACAAGATCCGACATTTCGGCTTTTCACGTGTACACGTCTGTTTTTAAAACACAATAAAAAGGAGTATAAAAGGGGATACAAGCCACTCTCACGCTTTCAAAACAGAACACCATACAACATTCACGACACACCTAAGCGGATTAAGCCCTCATGTTCCGATACAGCGCCGTCCTGAAAGACTCTCGAACACGTCTGTTTTGGCACACGTCGTTATACAGTTTCACTCCGCTGTACGCGAGTTGGCGCCTGCCAGTCTCGGTTCTAATGGCAGGGGGCCGCAGCTGGTTGTTGTGTCGTGTTTGATGTTCATGTCTGTGGTCTGTGGCAGCGATAATCGAGTACAATGTTTCTGGCAACTCCGATGACACGACTCTGCGAACCATCTGTGCCCGGTGGTCACTGGCGGATCCAGACTTGCGTTTTGGGGGGGGGGGGCCAACTCCTGCAAGTAGCCAAACCTAGGGTACCCCCAAATCCTGTTTTCTCATCGGATTTAGGCCACTTATTTTTTAGTCACAGCCCTGAAACGATATTTTTTTAAAACTAAAAATAAAAAAAATATAGAAATGGTAGCCCACCCAACCCGAGCCTAAATATTACTTTGAAAACACTTCAAATTGCTTTTGTCGACCAATTAGCCCGCTCCGGGTCGGTGCGTGGCGCAGCCTTCGCGGGCTGGGAGGTGTCGGTTGGACCCCCTGCCGTTCGGCCCCTGATTAAGCTAGAGCTCGCGGGAAAAAAACAGGCGTGTTGCCCGTGAGTGACGAGACGAAGCCGATGATACCCGATTTTAAGGTCCTTGGTCATTGGTTGACCTTCCAGGGCGGTGTTTCACGGTCGTGCTGACAGCCGCTGACAGCGCATTCCGCGAGCTAAGGTCAGCCTTCGGTAGTGTTGTGGGTATAGGCTTGTTGATGTCTCCATTGAAACCAAAAGTGCCATCAGCGCTGGCAGCGGCTGGCAGCGTGCCGTGAAACACCGCCCAGGTCAGGTCACAGACCCAAAAGACGGAAAAATCAGAACCTGTCAGAACCTCCTAAAGTAAGGCTGTAATACGTTTTTTTTTGTGCTGATCACAAATTTCATGTTAGTTTGGATCATAGATAATGTCTTCATGGGCAATTCCACGACAAATCACCTAATTTTTTTCCAATTGTTCACCATGACCTCTCCGATTTTGCTCAAATTTGGCATGTTAGTTGACCTATGGGCACTACTTCGTCCCAGTAAATTTTTAGTCTCTAGGTCACAGGGGTCATGAGATATGGGTCATGCAAATTTTTAGGTTTTCCGGAACATTGAAATATAAAGTATTTTTTATCTCTGCAACGGTTCACCGGATCAAAAAAAGTTATATATGAAATAAGAAGCGCAAAGGCTGCTGCGTCTAGCAAAAATGTGAACGAAACCCCAGGGTCATTTTTTGACCCTTTGACCTCGTGACCTTTTCTTGACCCCGTGACCTTTTAAATTTGTCCTATTTTAAAAATTCTGATTTTTTCTATCAGAGATGTCTTATCCATGCTCTTAATAGTGGTATGTGATTTGGTTGGTATATCGGACCCGTTGACCTCAAACTGAGGTCAACAATGTGGTCATGACCTGACATGAAAATGACATCTGCCGAGAACGTCGAGAATCATAGGCAATATGGGTGTCATATGAAAGCTTACTTCACGGAGAATACATTGGTGGTGTTTTTGAGTAGGTATGGGCCGGGTCAAGGTCACATTAGGTCAGTGACCTAACACAGCATTGTGTTCTTTGAAGGTGGCGTATTTTATTTGTTTGGTAAGCCCAGTGATCAGCACACAATAAAAAGGAAACAAAACGTCATAAAACACCGTCTGTCTTTATTCAAAAAGCACAGATAAAATGTATTCACCCATATACACACACTCGCACAAACACACACACACATACATACACCTTGTTCGAGGAAGATCTTTCAAACAAACCTCAGTAACACACGCGGTGTGAAGAACGAGTCTCAGAAGACTAGGAGACCTTGAAGGCTGCTATGGTGTGGGAGTCGAGCGGTACAAAGCGGTGAAACATCCTGGTACCTACTACCTACCCTTCACCGTGCGGGCACTTGTGAACCGTTCTCTTTCATTTTCGTCTTCGTTCCTGCTATTTGCGTTGCCGAAACGAAGAAGATTTTATCGGTAAGGTGGTCCTCACAGTATTACCAATACCATCGCATGCGCTTTTGCCATGCGAGGTGGCAAAAAAATCCACTCACATTGAACACCAAAATCCTCGGCATGATGACATATATTTGCAAAATTGTATTTGTTCTTGTACTGGGACGCTGCTCCGTCAGAGAAGTAGTGTATTTTTTAGTCTTGGGCATTCATTTCAAATGTGGGGAATAACCACTGCCTGAAATGCCGCTTCAGCTCCCGCGTCAGCTCCCGCAACGCAAATAGCAGAAACGAAGACAAAAATGAGAGAACGCTTCACAAGTGCCCGCATGGTGAAGGGTACCAGGACGTTTCACCGCTTTGTACTGCTCGACTCCAATACCATAGCAGCCTTCAAGCTGTCCGAGTCTTCTGAGACTCGTTCTTCACAGCGCGTGTGTCACTGGGGTTTGTTTGAAAGAACTTCCTCGAACAAGGTGTATGAATGTGTGTGTTTTTGCGAGTGTGTGTATATGGGTGAATGCATTTTATCTGTGCTTTTTGAATAAAGACAGACGGTGTTTTATGACGTTTTGTTTCCTATTTATTGTGTGCTGATCACTGGGCTTACCAAACAAATAAAATACGCCACCTTCAAAGAACACAATGCTGTGTTAGGTCACTGACCTAATGTGACCTTGACCCGGCCCATACCTACTCAAAAACACCACCAATGTATTCTCCGTGAAGTTAGCTTTCATATGACACCCATATTGCCTATGATTCATGATGTTCTCGGCAGATGTCATTTTCATGTCAGGTCATGACCACATTGTTGACCTCAGTTTGAGGTCAACAGGTCCGATATACCAACCAAATCACATACCACTATTAAGAGCATGGATAAGACATCTCTGATAGAAAAAATCAGAATTTTTAAAATAGGACAAATTTGAAAGGTCACGGGGTCAAGAAAAGGTCACAAGGTCACAAGGTCAAAAAATGACCCTGAGGTTTCGTTCACATTTTTGCTAGACGCACCAGCCTGTGCGCTTATTATTTCATATTTAACTTTTTTTGATACGGTGAACCGTTGCAGAGATAAAAATACTTTATATTTCAATATTCCGGGAAACCTTAAAATTTGTATGACCCATATCTCATGACCCCTGTGACCTAGAGACTAAAAATTCACTGGGACGTAGTAGTGCCCGTAGGTCAACTTGCATGCCAAATTTGAGCAAAATCGGAGAGGTCATGGTGAACATGCCTAGGTGATCTGTCATGGAATTGCCCTCATGCGTTTAGACCATGTCGGGGCAGGTCAGGTCAGATCAACCAGTAGGGGTACTTATGGGCGTCCGTATAGCAGGTGTCCACTACCACTAGCAGCTACGTAACATGATACGAAGGCATCAAAACTACTTCGTAAATGTTCAAATGGCTGCAAAATGCTAAATTCAAAATCAGCTAAACGAAACTATCCTAGAAACATGTTAAACTCGGAAAAGTGCACCGAGGTCATCAAAGGTCAATGACCTGACTTGACCGTAAGGTGACATTGGCATCCGCCCTAATGCGTGGGAGCAACATCATATCACATGTTTGAGCGTTTTAAACCACGAAAAGACTATGAAAGCGCGGATAATGTGAGCCGACATACGCCGAATCGCTATTCCGGCCAAACATGGCCTCCAACATGGCCAAACATATGGTGCATTCGGAGAGGCACATTCCACGTGGAATCCGTTGAATATTCCATGCGCGCGGAATATTTCCGGAGATTAGCCGTTCAGAGAGATGATACGCCTCCGAACGCGGCACGGGGAATATTCCCGGGGACGGTGAATATTCCATGCTCTCCGAACGCACGGATAGTCTCGAGAAATAGGCCACAAGTCAAAGTTCACTTGGGTCAGGGTCATGAAATTTTCAGACTTTGTCACCATGAGGGTACTAAAGTTTCGTCGCGATCGGCTTCATGATACCTTACACGATAACTTCACACGTCGATCGAGAGTTAAAGCATGGATGAAGGAGAACCAGGGGATGAAGGTTCTTTCATCCATGGTTAAAGTGTGCAATAAGAACTTCTTGGGTGAAGACAAGACCAACACTTTTATCAAGCTCACAGATTTTTAATGATACGGTATTTTCTCTCTACCTACTACGCTGTAACCGCGTTTCGTCAACTACCAACTACTATCAATAGAGAAGGACAGTTAGGATTGCCCCAGTGATGTATTGCAGCAGTAGTCCATTCATTTGTCACGTAAAAGCTGCAACAAACACGCACAGATCACGCACCGTCAGTCACATGAAGCTCATGCAGTGCTCATGCACGATTCATGCACGACAGCCCTGCGCAAGAAGCTATGCGGACAAGACAATCGAGCAAGCATTCTAGCGATTTGTTTGACAGTGCATTATTCACAAGCAATCATTCACATTTTGTACTGTCTGGCGTCTGCTGAACATTCTGTTGTGATCAGTGTCAATTCAAAGTAGTGGCCAGCTCATTAGAAAACAAATGACTCCATAGCGTAGCCACAGTTGACCGCAGACATTTAACACATAAACGTATGGATACGTACTTCGTTTGCAAGATGAAGGAGTTCAATGGTCCACAATACGCCTGTCATCAATGAACAATTACTTTAGCACGTTTGCACTGTAAGAGAAGGCAAAACATGTGTGAGCAAACCCGGCAGCCACGATTGCAACACAAAGCAAACGTCCCAACATCCCATGCAGTGCAAATTCCGCAGGCAGACATGCACAGGTAAGTGTTGCACATTCGCATGCCCTAAGCAATAAACTGAACTGGCACCTCCTATTCCTTCAATTCCCCCTCTCGGCGGTAACATGGCTCCCCAAAATCCGGTGAGGATTTTATGATCCTGAGAACAAATCCCGGATGCACAGAGGCGCACTTAACAAACTTAAAGATAACTTCCGCAAACACCCCATCACAGCTGAGTTCTTTGCAGCCGCTCCGCCGGGTGCCGCAATCACTGGCCGCGTTGTCTCAGCACTCGCCCAAAGTCCGCGCAAAAACCGCAACGGCCGATTCGACGAACCACTCTGTTCCAGCTCCGTCGAAGATCGCGAGCTGAAATCTCCAGCCCCGCTGCTCGACTCACTGACTCCCCGACTGGGAATCACACTGCCCACGTCTCATGAGAGAAATGAGACGGTGCACGGGGCGGTCATACTCCTGACCGTTTACACGCACTCGCACCCTTCGCACAAGTCCGTCCGTAGCCGGGTACGTCGCCACAACCAGGCCTAGTGGCCAGGCGCCTCGCGGTTGGCTGTCATCAACCATGATGACAACGTCGTCCTCCTGCAGGTTGTGTTCTGGCCGCTGCCATTTCCGCCTCTCCTGCAGAGACGGCAGGAACTCGCGTCGCCACCGCGTCCAGAATTCGGTGGCGAGGTGCTGTACTCTCCTCCACCGTCGTCGCCCATACAGGTCCGCGGAGCAGAACATCCCAGGGGCAGGAAGGACGACCTTTGATTTTAGGGTGAGGAGTTGGAGAGGTGTCAATGGCTCCACAGTATCACTACTGGACATGCTACAGTAGGTCAAGGGCCTGCTGTTGATGATGGCTTCAGCCTCGGCGAAAAGAGTTTGCAGAAGTTCGTCGTCGAGCTGTTGACCATTAGCGCTCAGCAGACTGGTCAGCGCCGTTCTCGCCGTTCGGATTTGGCGTTCCCAAACGCCTCCCATATGGCTCGCATATGGCACATTGAATGCGAACTCCACCCAGTCGCAGTTGTCTTTACTGAGTGTCTGAGCGATTCGCTTGTGATCCTCTTCTTTCAGAGCGCTCTCCAACAGGTTCTTCCCACCAATGAAGTTAGTTCCATTGTCGCAGTATATACGCCTGATGGGACCTCTCCTGCAGATAAAACGACGATATGCGTTGATGAATGAGTCAGCGGTCAGAGAACTGATCACTTCCAGGTGAGCAGCTCGGGAAGCGAAACAGGTAAACATCAGACCCCATCTCTTTACTTCACTGCGCTTCTCTCGTACGAAGAACGGGCCAAACGCGTCCACGCCACAGAACTCGAAAGGCTCCGACATTTCCGTTCGCTCAGTTGGCAAATCCGCCATCTTCTGGCCACAAGGACTTCCTCTGATCCTTCGGCACTGGATGCACCCCAAAATGCACTTCGAGACCACTGACCTTCCATGGAGTATCCAATATCCACGGTGCCGGATCTCACTGAGAGTCGATTCACGTCCTGCGTGGTGCAGTTCTTCGTGAGCATTGTAGACAATCAGCTTCGTGACTTGACCTTCCTTCGGCAAGATCACTGGATGGATGACTTCAAAGGGCAGACTACTCCTCCTGAGACGTCCCCCAGCGCGCAGCAGTCCATCGTCCGCAACGAACGGATTCAACCGCTTCAGGGAGCTGGTACCGTCTGCTGTCACTCCAGAAGTCATCTTCGTTGCGTCAGTTTTCATTTCCTTAACAAAACACTCTTCCTGTACTGCTCTCAGGATGACTTTCTCGGCCTCTCGCATCTCCTTCACACTGACTGGATCTGATTTTCTTCTCGGTCCACTCGGTGAACATTTCTCCGACTTGCCGCCACTCTTGGACCTGATCCTCTCCAAGAGGAGCGTTCTGTAGCGAAGACAAAGGGCCACTGATCTCTTCGCCCGATACCAGCTCGAGAAGTACGACAGTCTTGAAGACATCGTACCATACGACTTCGGCAGCTGTCCTGTACTAGTTCCGCTTTGGAATGCCGCCGCCTTGACTTCCCGATCATCTGCGGGCACCTCGACAATAATTTCACCACCCGGAAGACTTCCGGGCTGTTTCAGGAAGGAGGGGCCCTCCCACCATAGGGTGCTCGTCTTGAGACTGTCGGCCCGCATCCCGCGTGAGACTAGGTCGGCAGGGTTGTCCGCTGACTGGACATACCTCCACTGTCGGGCTGACGAGAACTGTCTGATCTCTTGCACTCTGTTAGCCACGTAGACGTGGAACCGTTTGCTTTCGTTTTGAACGTAACCCAACACGGCCAAACTATCTGTCCAGAAGTGTTCGGTGAGGTTTGGCAGACAGAGCTCACTTCGCAGGAAGACACTTGTCCTCACTGCTACCACAGCTGCAGCCAGCTCCAGTCTTGGGATTGTCACTGACTTCTTCGGTGTGACACGACTCTTGCTCATGACCAGTGACGTTGTAACTGATCCATCTTGATCTATGATACGCAAGTAACTGCATGCTCCATATCCATCTAGGCTTGCGTCCGAGAAGTGGTGCAGTTCACATCTGCAGTCCGCCAGGCTGTGCTCGGAGAAGGCGTACCTTCTTGGAATAGAGATGTCTGCGATCTGCTTCAGGTCCGTCTTCCATTCCTCCCACGGAGGCTCGACGTGGTCCGGAACAGGCTCATCCCAGTCACGCCCGTCACAGCAAAGTTGCTTCACAATGTTCTTTCCTAGAAGTGTGAATGGGGCCACCCAGCCGAGTGGGTCATACAGGGAGCTGACCATGGAGAGGATTCCTCTCCTGGTTGTCGGCTTCACTGATATGTCCGTATTTATGTGGAACGAGTCTTCTTGAAGATTCCATTTCATGCCGAGTGCGTGTTCAATGACAGTCCTTTCAGAGATGTCCACGTGCTCCAAGGACTTTGCACGCCGGCTCTCGGGAACACTTGCCACCACCTCGGGACAGTTGGATGTGAACTTATGCAGCTCAAAACCCCCACTCGAGCACATGCTGATCGTGTCCTTGACCAGCTGCACACTTGACTTCTCTTCGGTAGTCGACGTCAGACCATCATCCACATAGAAATCTCTTCTGATGAAGTCTGCCGCGTCAGATCCAAACACTTCTTCGTACTGGTCGGCTGTCTTGTTCAGGGCACTCATGGCGCACGCCGGCGAAGATGAAGCGCCGAACAGATGTGTCGTCATCCGGTACTCGGATGGCTCTCGCCGCATGTCGCCGTTCTCCCACCATAGAAACCTTATCAGGTCTCTGTCTTCGGGGGCTACCCTGACTTGGTTGAACATGCCCTTCACGTCACATGTGATACCGATGCGCTCCTTTCGAAACCGAGTCAGGATGCCGCACAGGTTGTTGGACACATCGGGCCCTTGCATGAGCTGGTTGTTCAGGGAACATCCCTGGAATTCTCCACTGCAATCAAACACTACGCGCAGCTTCTGTTTGGTTTGACTGTACACTCCGTGGTGAGCGACATACCATACCTTCCCGTCGTCACGGCATCGCTCGTCATCCGGAACAGCTTCAGCGTAGCCTTTATCGAGCATATCCTGCATGTATGCTTGATACTCTTCTTTCAAGCGCGGCTGCGATAGCAAGCGTCTCCTGAGGGAAGCAAGACGCTGCTCTGCCATGATCCGGTTGTTCGGGAACTGAGAGTCCGGGTCTTTCAGCGGCAGCGGTGCTACGAAGTGTCCATCTTCTCCCTGCACCATCTGCTCTTTCATCAACGTCTCGAACCTCATGTCCTCTTGTGACATCTTGGCACCCTTTGAGACCTCCTTGAAGTCACTATCGAAGAGATGTGATACTTGTTCTGGAGTAACTTCTCTCACTTGCATCCTGAAGGCAAAGTGTCGCCTGATAGTGACGTCACTACCCACGTTGACGAGGTAGCAGCCTGAAGAGGGTGTCGTCGGTGTCTCGACCGTGCCCACAACAGACCACCCCAGTTCAGTGCGAACTGCCCAGGGTTCGTTGTCTCCACCTGTGACTGTTTGCAGAGGCTTGATGGCTGCACCACAGTTCAACCCCAACAGCAGACCGATGTCAGCCTCTTCATAGTACCTCGGTAGGCTCGATGCCACTTCTGTGAGATGCTCCCAAGCCTGAACTGTTGACTTCCTTGGGATCAGCTGTCGATCAAGAAGAATGTCATCCCGTGTGTACGTGGTTGGTAGTTCAATCTCGGTGCCTGTGCTCAGGGATTCGATGACCAGGTCCTTTACAGCCAGTGACTCCAGCCTTGACTTGCCGGCCATCGTGCTTAGCTCCAACTGTATCGGTTCACCGTCAGCTTGCAGAGAGTCCCGAACGCTGCTCTTCAGGAAGCACGCGTCCGACTGTGAATCCAAAACTGCATACGTCACCAGGTTCAACTCCGGATGAAGTCTGTGCCAGATCCTGACGGGTACGATCATCGAATGTGAGCAGGGTGTCGTCCCTCGTTCGGCTGTCACCTGCAGTGACGTTGCAGTCTGAGTAGATCCATCGTGGACCGATCTCTTCTCTTGTGTCTCCCTGTGCACGGAGGCCAGTCGTTCGTCGTGCAGCAGGGTCGGGTGTCGTTTGCCGCATCTGTCACAGGTCTCCTTGCGCCTACATTCACGCCAGCGATGGCCAGCTCGAAGACAACCGCGACAGAGACGATATCTCTTTACCAGCTCGTGACGTTCATCTAACGAGCTAGATCTGAAGACATCACAAAGTCCAGTGATGTGTCGTCCTGGACACAACAAGCACTTGATAGGCGTCGGATCCAGTGAGCCTCCAGTGTGTCCGCTACGTAGTTCAGTTGCCGGCCTGGGGGCGCCTGCTGATGACAGGAAGGTCCTGACTCTACCATTAGCGGGTTGTGTTTGCGGGCGACGCTGGCTCCGCGTCTCTTCCTGGGTCGCCAGCATCGCCACGGGGCCCGAGGCGATTCTTGCTTCTCTTGCAAGAAATGTGACAAATTCATCGAACGATGGGTAACACGGTTCTTGGCCAGGCTCTGGCTCGTAGATTTTCTTGTCCACGATCCTTTTCCACTTATCGACGATGTACCTCGGCAGCTTCTTCAAGATCATTGCATTCTCTTCTGCTTCGCCTAGCGTTCTCATGCCTGGCACGACATCAGCAGTAGCAGAACACCCATCTAGAAAGTCAGCCAGCTGTTGCAGGGCCTTGGTGTCGCCCGGTTTGATCACAGGCCAGTCCCTCAGTCTTTTCTTGTAGCTTGTGACGGTAATGAAGCTGTTCCCATATCGCTCGATGAGGCGTGCCTTCGCTCGGTCATACGCGTCGTTGGTCCTGAGGCACAGCAGTCCGTGTATCGCACTCCTCGCTTCTCCGGCCGTGTAACGAGACATGTAGTTCAGCCGTTCAACTGGAGACTCGGTCTTGCTTTCAATGAAGGACTCAAACGACTTTAACCAAAGCGGAAAGTCTTCAACGTTGCCCTTGAAAACGTCTGGCTCCAGCTTAGGGAGATCACTTCTTTTGTTCTGAGCTGACAACAGCGTTGACAGACCCGTCAGCAGTTGTTCTTGAGATGTCATCTCAGCGTTTCCTTGCGGATCACCGACTGCGTCCAACGGAACTCTTGTTGAGCGACTGATACCGAGGCCAGCTGTGTCGATGGTTGGACCTTCAGTTTCTTGATAGTTTCTCAGTGTTGCGGCTTCATGCATAGCAGCAGGAGCTTGCTGATGTTCGACACACATGCGAGGTCTTGCTCCTGTTTCCATAACAAACATCTCTTCTTCTTCCTCTGCAATCCGGTTTGCAGCTTCCCTCTGTGCTGCACTGACTTCAATTTGTGTCTTCAGCCGAAGCTCTTCTTCTTTCCATTCGAGTTCCTGTCTCATTTGGTCCAGTTTCCTCCTACTCTGGAGAGCAGCCATCTTCGCTTCCGCTTCAGCTCGCTGACGCTCATCCTGAAGGCGGGTTTCGAGCAGCTTAGCACGAAACGAGCTTGCAGTGCTCTTTCGAGATGCAGCGCTTTTGTTGTCATCATCGCGTTCAATCCTGAGGTCGGTTTGAGGCGTCTCTTGCGTCACACCCTGTCCTCCAACTGCACCAGGTGCAGCACTTGAATACGGGCGGCAGAGAAGCCCTCTTGGATCTTGTTGTCTTAGAAGACCAAGAATCACTTTCATTTCTTCCAGTTGCTGGCCATGTTTCTTGTCATGTTGGAGTCTGTCTTCAGGATCCAGCAGTTCTTGGAGTTCCTGTTCAATCTGTAGGAACTCCTGATGGCAAAGCATCCATTTGTCCAGAAGTTCCTGACTGATATCGTCTGCTATTTCCATACCATCTTCAGTCAGTATGCGCACTGACAGCTTGTTAAGCTCCTTGCAGTATCTGTTATATGCCTGTGTCTTGATACCACATTGGTATTCTCTGCCAGCTTCAGTCATCTTCTTTCCTCTTGTTGGTCGTGACCCTTCACATACAGTTGTCTTCTTCTCTTGCACTTGAACCCTCTGTTGATCCATCTTGTCTTCAATTCTCCTCTTCAGTGATACCAATGACAAGGATGGGACATTACATTGGACAGAAGGTAAGCTTGTTCAGCTTGTGTTCATTGAGTGACTGGAAAAGGAAGCAGCAAACGAACTTTTACTGTAACCGCGTTTCGTCAACTACCAACTACTATCAATAGAGAAGGACAGTTAGGATTGCCCCAGTGATGTATTGCAGCAGTAGTCCATTCATTTGTCACGTAAAAGCTGCAACAAACACGCACAG